TCTCATTTTATCACCCTTGGTAGAGTGCTATAGCTCACAGCAGCCTCAAACTCTTGGCCATGGCATCATAGCTCATAGCAACTTCAAATTCTTGGGCCCAAGGGATTCTCTTACCTCAGCCTCCCAAGTAGCTGGGACTACAGACACCCATCACAGCACTCAGCTATTTTTAGAGACAAGGTCTCACTCTGGCTCAGGGTAGTCTCAAACTTGTGAGCCCAGGCAATCCACCCACCTCGGCCTCCCAGAATGCTAGGATTACAGACGTGGGCTACTGCGCCCGGCCCTACTTCAATCTTCCAAATCTAGACAGAGCTGTACCACAGGTACAAGGAGGGGTTGCTGAGTCACATGGCTTCATTCACTTCAGTGATTTCCATACATCTCAGTGTTCATCAGCAAATCCTTGTCAAATCTCACCATCTATGAACATGTCGCGAAATCTTATTTTTCAAGGCTACATCCCACCCAATTCAGAAATAAGTTGAATTGTTATTTATTATAACAATAAAACGTTTATTATAACAATAGTATACTTGTATAATCAATTTAAAGGTTTTTTTTTTTTTTTTGGCTGGGGCTGGATTTGAACCTGCCACCTCCGGCATATGAGGCTGGCGCCCTACCCTTTTGAGCCACAAGCACCGCCCTAAAGGTTTTAATTTTGATATGTATACTTACTATACTTTGAACTTCTTTTGAAAATAACTAATGATCCTCAGAAATTTTTGTGGCACACCTAAGTTCTCTCGAAGCACACCAATGTGCCATGGCACCCCAGTTGAAAATCACTGACATAAGGTATCAGAACTCAGGTTATTCTTGATTTTTCAATTTTGAAAAATATCAGTTAAAAAAAATATGGAGGGCTCGGCGCCTATAGCTCAACCGGCTAAGGCGCCAGCCACGTACACCTAAGGTGGCAGGTTCGAATCCCCAGCCCGGACCTGCCAAACAACAATGACGGCTGCAACCAAAAAATAGCCGGGTGTTGTGGCGGGCGCCTGTGGTCCCAGCTACTTGGGAGGCAGAGGCAGGAGACTCGCTTGAGCCCAGGAGTTGGAGGTTGCTGTGAGCTGTAATGCCATAGCACTCTACCCAGGGGGACAGCTTGAGGCTCTGTCTCAAAAAAAAAAAAAAAAAATATGGAGGAACTTCAAACCCAGCAGAGGCACTCGGCCTTCTAAAAGGGACATCATTGTCAACCAGCTGAGAGTTGGGGGATGGGTCTGCCAGCTTCCCAAGTCACAATCCTGTGGCTCCTTCAAACACCAAGAGCCAGGAAGCAGGGCAGCACCCTCCCAGAGGACAGGTAAGAGCTGCCAGCCCCTACCTACTTGCCTGCGTTCATCCCTGACTCCTTGTTTAAACTTAACAATAACAGGTCCTGGGCGGTGGCTCACACCTATAATCCCAACACTCTGCGAGGCCAAGGCGGGAGGATCTCCGAGCACAAGATTTCGAGACCAGTCTGAGCTGGTCAAGACTCTGTCTCTACTAAAAATAGAAAAATTAGCAAAGCATTGTAGCAGCCATTGTGCCTGGCTGTAGTCCCAGCTACTCAGGAGGCTAAGGCAGGAGAATCCCTTGAGGCCAGGAATACAAGGTTGCAGTGAACTAGGCTGACACTACAGCACTCTAGCTGAGCGACAGAATGAGACTCTGTCTCAAAAATTAAAAAACAGGCTCAGCACCCGAAACACAGTGGTTACAGCCCCAGCCACCTGCACCAAGGCTGGCAGGTTCGAGCCTGGCCTGGGCCAGCTAACCAACAATTGACAACAGCAACAAAAATTAATTAATTAATTTAAAAAAAAACAACTTAACAGCAATGACCAGTGACCTCTTACTCTAGTACCACATGATATGGGTTCACATCCATCCAGAGCTTTGAACCTCATTACCTATGAAGGCAGGAAGTGGCTGCCTACAAAACTGAGGAAGTATTGCCAATCCCAGCCACTCGGGAGGCTGAGGTGGTAGGATCACTTGCTATCAGGAGTTCTAGACCAGCCTGGGCAGCACAGCAAGACCCCATCTCCAAAAAAGTACTCTGAGGAGGAGCTACTGCACTCCTTCACAGTTAAGGGTACCTCAGGGAAGGAGTCAAAACCCACAGTTTCAGGCACAGGCTCCATTCCTCCATCCCCCCAACTACTATGTACTAACGAGGCTCTGGTGACACCAGGGCTGTGTTTCTCTCCAAGTGTGTCCTGGCTTCAAGAGCAGGGCTGACCCACAGCAGGTGCTCAGGAGACAGCCATGATCACATGCACCAGGCAACGCTGCCACTGGCAGCCAAGGAAGTTCCCGTCCCACAGCCTTTCCTCACTCCATCAGAGAGCTCTGAGCCAACCAGCTGGGACTACTGCCCCCCCATCCAGCACTAAGCCAGTTTTACCAGTGGGAATGGGTCTCAGGGGAACTAGTCAGACACGCTGAGTGCCATGGCCAACCCAGTGGCTGCCCTCAGCCTCTGCTGCTTCTTGCTCAGGACCTTATGGAAGCCTCTTTGCTGGCCCCGTGGGCTCCAACTGCCCACAAGTTTGACTGTGTCCTCTCTGCCCCTCTAATAACCGCCAACACCCCTCCTTTAGTCTCAGGCAGTCCCTGCTGAAGTCCCTGCTCCTCACCCGTTCTCCCCATCTGGCCACCCTCCCAGCCCACATGACCACCGACTAGGACTCCCCCACTGCACATCTGGGCTCACCCACCTCCTCGCCCTCCTATCTCTGCTGTATCCAAGACCAGTTTAACTGCCACCTCCCAGCGCCCCCTACTGTGCCCTCCCACAGGCATCTCTCAACTCTTAAGGGCCCTCTTGTCTCCACCATATGCTCCTGCCTCTGCCACATCTGGGCTGCACATGGGCACCTGCTGCCACTGTCTTAGGGCACCCTGAAGGCACAAACCACATCCCACACATGGCTGCCCCTGAAGAGCCCAAACAGCACTTTGCTCATACATCTTTGTTAAGGAAACTGGGTTTGTTTGGTTTTTTTCAGTTTCAGCTTTTTGCCAGCATTTTTATTTTCAAACAAGTTTTCTTTGAAGTGGCTGGCCAGGAGCAGGGGCACTGGGCTAGACATACAAAGAAGGTACTAGCCCTCATGGCAAAGGTTTATAGTAAGATAAACCTAAGCTCAGATTCTAGCACTTCAGGATAATAATTTGTGGCCCCAGTTCGATGAACTATGTAACAAGCTAAGTCAGTCTGCTCATCTTGTTAAAGGGGATAATTTGTGTAGCTTGAGTTGGAAGCGTAAAAACACAAGCTAGGCTGGGCACTGGGGCTCACACCTGTAACCTCAGCACTCTGGGAGGCCCAGGCAGGAAGATCTCTTGAGCTCAGGAGTTCGACTCCAGCCTGAGCAAAGTAAGACCTGATCTCTACTAAAAATAGAAAAACTAGGCTTGGCACCTGTAGCTCAGTGGCTAGGGCCCCAGCCACATACACTGGGCCTGGTGAATTCGAATTGGCCCGGGCCTGCCAAACGACAACTATAACAAAAAAATAGCCAGGCGTTGTGGTGGGTGCCTATAGCCCCAGCTACTTGGGAGGCTGAAGCAAGAGAATTTCTTAAGCCTAAGAGTTTGAGGTTGCTGTGAGGCCATGGCAGCTGGACGTTGTAGCAACATCTGTAGTCCCAGCTTAGCTACTAGGGAGGCTAAGACAGGGGGATCACTTGACTTAGGAATTTGAGGTTGTTGTGAGTTGTGATGTTGACACAGCATTCTAGCCTGGGTGACAGAGGGAGATCCTGTCTCAAAAAAAAAAACAAACAAACAAACAAACAAAAAAAATGCACCAGCATGGTGCCTGCAGAGAGCAGGCTCTTTCATAATCAGCTTGTCTCTTATCATATGCTTTAATTTGCTCAAAATATCTTTATTAGGGACACCCTTAAGGGGGTCCCATGTCACGCCAAGGATGTATCAGTGGCCCCTGGTTTTCCTGGGCTTCTCAGAGCTGCTGGCAGCACCCCTTACCCCACCCCATGTCCCCCCCACTGTGCACTGGATGGCTTTATACTTCCCAAGTTTGTGACCCACTTTGCCTCCCACATTCACCAGATGTGGCCCCAGTGATTTTTGAATATTTCCATGACAAGGACTGCCCACAAGCATCTGCTCTGGGCTCAAGAAAAGGATTTTCAAGCAGCAGGGCAATGTCCCAGGGGTGAGGGGCAAAGACAAGCCTAGGGTATCATGAAGTCCCAGCCTCCTTCCCAACTGACTTCAGACTCCCAGGCACCTTGGGGAATATCTGTCTCTCCTCAGACTGAGAGCTCTTTAAGGTAAAGGACTGTGACCTGTTCATCCCATGTCCCCAGGCCTGGCACCCAGGAAGGGTGATGGCAGCAGAGAATGAGGAGATGTGGGCAGGAACATGCAGAGGTCAGTGTGGGTCACACTAGAACTCTAATTTCTTGGCTGTTGCTTACCCATGAGAACTAACAAAATTTGTGGGAAGAGAATGGAACCAGGGCCAGGGAGCTGGAGTGCTTTGGCTTGTTGGCCTTAGGACAGCAAGGAGCTAGGGGACCCTGTACCACAGCCTGTCAGGATGTGGCCAGAGTCCAGTGGCCCATGGCCCACAGCCAACCCTCACTAACCCTCTAGACTGGACAAGTTACTTCACCTCCCACTTCATAGCATCTGCTAAATACAAATGAACAGAAAATATTCTCTTTGCCATTTCTGTTAAGAATCTAGAAGAAATATGGAAATTGTAAAGGGCTAAACAGAAGGGTACTTGCAGGTGGCACTTTCTACAGATCACCAAGCTTTCTTGAGGCCATCCCAGCAGGAAAAGAATTTCCCTGACAGTCCCACTGCTGACACAGAAGCCTGTTATCTGTGAGGCACAGGCCAACTCTGGGGATGCATCTAAGCTGGGAGCACGAGGGAGCTGCAGAGCTAGGACATACAGCCACCACGACCCCAGCCCATGAGCCCCACACAGGCCCAGCAGGTGTCAGGGAAATGAGAGATCCAGCTCTGAACACATATTCCAGGGAGGTTTATTAGCAGCCACATTAAGGAGCCTGTGCTCCTGTCCAGAGAAGAGGCTGAGCACATCCTGGAAAGAAAGGGAGGCCACCTGGCTGCAAGGCCTGACGCCCACAGAGGCAATGGCGTTTCTGCTCCAAGCACAGCCATCCCACCCTCCTTCCCCCTTTAAGTCTCTCCCTGAAGAGGCAGTGCTGTCCTCCTCCCAGAGAAAATAAGGTCCTCAAATCTCCTGATCCACTTGACATCCACTGGCCCCCAGAATCTAGGCACAGGCCCTCCATCTGCTCCCCAACCTGGCCAGGATCAGGGCCCCACCCCGGGAGCATGGGCCCAGCCTCTCAGCCCAACCATCCTGGCAGCCAGCGCCTACAGTCTGCAGCGGATAAACTCTGTCAGGACCTCCAGCTGCTCCTCCAGGCACTGTGCATCTCCATGGTTCTCGATGACCCAGTCAAAGCCCCCAAAGTTGTCCAGGCCACATTCTGACTCGGCATCGTCCACCCCTGTGGAGGAGGCGTGGTGAGGTCAGCTTCCAGCCCTGCCGGCAGACATCAGACCCCAAGGCCAACAGTCCACAAGAGCAGGCCCTCCCTGCCTCTCCTCTGCTCTCCACCCCTGACACATGTAATGGCAGGCTGAGCAGCCCACAGCTACCTGGCCCCCAGGTGGCCCCTGTTGACTGAGCCCTTCATGTGCCACTGCCTCCAGAGGGGAGAGGGGGGTGGTGTCTGGTCACTCAAGACCACAGATGACCCAAAGGGGCATTTTCACTTTGTATTAGGCTGGTTGTGTCCATTTTCCCTGACTCAGTCCCCTGGGAGGCAGAGTTGAGGGGCCTATTCCTCTTCTCACCCTACGACCCTGGGAAGGAGACTTCACCTTTCCAGGCTAGTGCTTTATCTAACCAAGGTGTGGTAACAGCAGCATCTGCCTTGTGGGTCTATGCCAATGACAAGGTGTATACAGAGTGCTCGGCACAGGCCTGGGTGAAGGTCTCAGACACGAGCAGCCGTTCACAGTGGTAGTACCCATGGCATCTGAACATCCCCAGGTCACAGTGACCTAGGGCAGGAAGAAGGCCCAAGCCTTACCTCCAAACTGCCATAGGGCAGACCCTGGACTAGCACCACTGGAGCTCCCACTGGAGCTTCCTCTGCTGCCCCACTACTATGCTGATCAAACAGGAGTAAGCTCCAGAAGGCTTGCCCTCTGCCCACCACCAGCCCCTGCACCAGCCTGGAAAACAAAGGCAAAGGACCATGGACACAGATCCCAGCCAGACTTGCAGAGAAGTCCACTGGACTTAAGAAGACAGCCCAGGTAAGGGAACCAGTCAAGATCACAGGGGGGACCTTGACCCCCAAGGACATTCCCCACCACCCCCACTCTAATATGGAGGCCTCAGACTCCACTTTGTAATCACTCGCTCATTCCCCCAGGCCCGCAGGGGACAGAGCAGGAGACCTGGAGCACAGGGGGTAGCCTGTGTTCCAAACTTGAGGAGACAAGTCATGTGCAGCTCACCTGGCGTGAACACCCAGCCCCGCTGCTGTCGGCTCTGCTCCAAAGCTACCACACGGACCGTCTGTGTCACAGTCCCATAGGCCTCCTGAAACCACTGGATGTCAGACAACCTCCGCGTGTCGCTCACCAGCTACAGAAAGAAACACAGACAGGTGACCCACAAGACCAGGTTCTGGAGATGAAGGAAAGCAGGAACCACAGCACCCAGAGCAGGACAGACAGGGGGAGCTGCTCTTTATCCTCAGACTCATCCTCCACCCAACACATGCCACCACATGCAGACTTCATGACAGGTGGCACTGCAGCCATGTTTATCCGCCCAGGTATGAATAAGTATTACTGCAAGCTCCTGCTGTAGAACACCACAGACTTGTGCCTGCCCTCCTGAAGACAGGCACTCAACAGGGCAGCTTTCCAAGTAACTGCACCATCATCACGAAGATCAACAAGTACCCCAACTTCAAGGTGGCTGAAACTCCTCTTGTTTTTCTCTCCAATCCTGTTCTTCCCCCAATTCCCTGTCTCAGAAAATGACAATTCTACCTGTCCAACTTGTCAGAACAAAATCCCTGGTAGGGTCTCTCACGCCCTATAGTCAACCCATAACCAGATCCTATTGGCTCTATCTTCAGTATCTGTCCAAAATTAATTCCTTCGCTCCACTGAACCCCAACCCCACTCTGCATCCCCACCACAGCCACCTGCATTGTAGGAGTTGCCCACCCAGCCGCCCCTCTAGCTAGGGCCAGCCTTTTAAACCTTAAAAGTAGATCACATCTCTCCCCTTCTCAAAACCAAAGATCCCTGCTTTACTCACAAAGACCCTGTATAACCTGACCTCACCCCCGGCCCTGGCTTGTCCTCAGACACACCAGCACACTTCCCACTCCAGGCATCGGCACTCCCTGCACCCTCTCTGGAATGCTGCTTCCCAAATATCTGGTCCCATGTTAAGGTTCACTACCTTTATTTTCTTAAGGTCCTGCTCAAATGTCATCATTATCAGTGAGGCCTTCCCTGACACCACTCTGCAGCCCTCCTCATAGCCTCGGCGTTCTTTACTTCCCTTAGTGTTTATCTCCACCTGATATAGTCCATATTTATTTTATGCTTATGTCTCCCCACCCCCATCTGTACTGTAAGCTACCTGCAGACAGAGATGTCATCCCATCTCTACACCAACATATCCCCAGCACCCAGAACATGCCTGGCACACACAAAGACTGCCAGAATGAAGGAGGAAGAAGAATGGCAGGGTACTGCAGGAGGCACCAATGAAGACTCTGCTATCAGGGAGGGCCTCCCCGTGGAAGTGTGGTATAAACTGAATTGCAGCTAACCAGGGAAAGAAGGAAAGAAAGGGCAGTGCAGGCTGGTAGAAGGGTACATGCAAAGGCTCTGATTCTGGAAGGACCTTGATTATTTGAGGACCAGAGATAAGGCAAGGGTAGCTGCAAGGAATAAGGAGGGTGGCAGGAGCTGGAACATATAAGGCCCAGAAGTTCATGTTAAGGATGGTAAGTCTGGCTTGGCGCCTGTGGCTCAAGCGGCTAAAGTGCCAGCCACATACACCGGGTTCGAATCCCCAGCCCGGGCCCGCCAAACAACAATGATGGCTGCAACCAAAAAATGGCCAGGCATTGTGGCGGGCACCTGTAGTCCCAGCAACTTGGGAGGCTGAGGCAGGAGACTCGCTTGAGCCCAGGAGTTGGAGGTTGCTGTGAGCGTGATGCCACGGCACTCTACCCAGGGGAGATAGCTTGAGGCTCTGTCAAAAAAAAAAAAAAAAGGATGGTAAGTCTTTTCACCAAAATGCTCTAAACAGAAGAGTGATATGACTTGGCTGACAATGCCCAGGCAAGGTGAGGGGATCTTGGGTCAGGAAGGTGCAGCCGTAGAAACTGAGGTGAGGGTACAGGGCTGGAGAAGCAGGTTCCTCCACACTGCAGGGGCCACTTACCCAGATGGGCTGGGAGACACCCTCCACGATTCTCCTGCAGAAGTAGCCAGGGTCAGCCTGGCGCCTCTCCTCCCCCCAGCGGATCATGTCCCTGCGATAAGCCTCCTTGTAGGCGCTGGCATCCAGGAGTCTCTGGAAGTTCAAGCCATGTTCCTGCCCAAAGCACAGGATGCCTTTGTCACCAACCTCTCAACTCAGCAGTCTCTCCTAAAACACAGGCCTCTACCAGGACAGACGCAAGATTTGGACCAGGATAAAGGTATGCCAGGGAAAGGGCCCTAACAACCAAGAAGTCCCCAGCACTGGCAGATGGAAAAAAGGTCTTGAGATAATCTAGAAATTGTTTAAATTTGTCTTTGAAATGTGTGATGTCATTTTCCCTTTTACAATTTTACCTTCTCAATTATTTCTGGCTTAAACTAATCCTGAAATTAGTTCGCATCCCCTGGACACAGACTTAGCTTTCAACTAAAGTGGGAAATCTAAAGGCCAGGCAAGGTGGCTCATGCCTACAATCCTAACACTCTGGGAGGCCAAGGCAGGCAATCACTTGAGCTCATGAGTTCTTCAAGACCAGCCTGAGCAAAAGTGGGACCTATCTCTAAAAAATAGCTGGGTATTGTGGCAGCCTCCTATAGTCCCAGCTACTTGGGAAGCTGAGTTAAGAGGATCACTTGAGCCCAAGGGTTTGAGGTTGCTATGAGCTACAATGCCACAGCACTCTACCAAGGGCAACAAACTGAGACTCTGTCTCAAAAAATAAATAAAGTGGGAAATCTGGGGAAATAAAAAACCCTGATTCCATATCCTACCAGTACCCTTTCTCACATTATGTACCCCCACCCTAAATCCCAAGGAGAGTGTATGTCTCCCTCCTCACCCCCTCACCTCTTCCCCATCTCCAAATTCCTGGCACCTTTCCTCATTCCATTTGGCTCTTTGTACTTCCAAGGCCTCCCACATGCAGAGAACCCTCACGCTGGAAGGGCTGCTCCAACTACCCTCCCCTTCCGCATAGACACTGACAAGCAAGGGGGTCCATCCAGAGGGCCTCAGGAGTTGTAGCTCCCCAGACCTCCAGCGTGGCCGCCTACCTATTCTCCCAGGTATGGCCAGCAGCTGCCTCTGCTAGTGACCAACTTCTATCAGGGAGCACTGGGTCACATTTACCATCATGACTCGAGGAATCAGTGCACTGACATTTCATTTTGGTTTTGCTTTTTAATGGGAAGGGGTGGGGAGAGTCATACTGGACTTCCAAACACCAAGGGCAGTCTTGCCCAGTAGAGTAACCTGCACAGGATTAAAACCTGCCTTTTCTCACTCCTCCAGCCCCAGTCTGGCTCAGTAGGATCAGAGTAGGGTCGAATGTGGGAACTCTGGAAATAGATCATTCTTTTAGAAACTGTTCCTAGGATGCCTCCAGAAGTGCCCAGGACCCTCTGGGGAAGGATGAGTGTGTCCTCCTTCACCATCTACTCTCCTCCCCAGTAAGCTCCTGGATGCAAGGAACTTCTGCACCCAGTTTCACCAGGGAAGGGAACAGGCTGAAAAAAGTTGAAAACCACTGAACCTCATCATCTCCACAATCCTGCAGATGGCCACCCTGTGAGTAGGTCTGTTAGCTGGTGAGAAGACCCAATGCTTCCCACTGAGGCAGGGCTGTCACACACAGAATGAGGGACAAATTCATTTTATGTCACTGCAGAGGCCTCTTGGGTTCACCTAGAGGCCAAGGACAGACATAGGCAGCCACTGGCCTCTTCTCTCTGCAGAAAGGTGACCCTGCCTTCCAGGTTCCATTTCTGAAGTAAGATTCTGAGAGTTCCTACTTATTTTGTTTAAATTCTATCTTTTTTTTTTTGAAGGAGTCTCATTTTGTCACCGTTGGTATAGTATCATGGCATCACAGGCTTACAGAAACCTCAAACTCTTGGGCTTGAGCAATCCTCTTGCCTCAGCCTCCTAAGTAGCTGGGAATACAGGCGCTCACCACAACACCCCGCTACTTTTTTGTTGCGGTTATCGTTTTAGCTGGCCTGGGTCAGGTTCAAACCTGCCAGCCTCGGTGTATATGGCCTGCACCCTACCCATTGAGCTACAGGCGCCGCAGTGACTAAATTTCTAAGGGGATAATGCTAAGTAAGGGTTGGCTCAGGCCAGTGGAGGGTGGAGTGGGGGTGATGCTTTGAGTAAGAAGACATCCTTACTAAATCCCATGGCATCAGAGTAGACACTTAAGTGTCTACAGCTTTTCCTTGGACATACCTTCTCGACGTGCTCTAGGTAAGTAGCCTGAAATAAATGAGGCTGTTAAGAAAGAAGCTTAAGGCTCAGCACCTATGGTTCAAGCAGCTAAGGCGCCAGCCACATACACCTAAGGTGGTAGGTTTGAATCCAGCCCCGACCTGCCAAACAACAATAATGGCTGCAACCAAAAAATAGCTGGGCGTCGTGGCGGGTGCCTGTGGTCCCAGCTACTTGGGAGGCAGAAGGGGGAGACTCGCTTGAGCCCAGGAGTTGGAGGTTGCTGTGAGCAGTGAAGCCACAGCACTCTACCCAGGGGGATAGCTTGAGGCTCTGTCTCAAAAAAAGAAAGAAAAAAGAAAGAAGCTTAAGCTAAAAATGCCCCCACAAGGTCCACTCACAGAAAACCAAGAGCTGGCCACCACCCAGCTAGCAAAGATTGTAAGGACCATGACAGTGACTGAAACGGCAACCACAGCTCCTCCCAATGCACTAGAAGCCACAGCGCCACCACACCGCCTACCTGAGCATACTGCTCCTTGAGGGGACCAGAGAGCCGGAGGACAGCACAGACATCTGCTCCAAGTCTGTGGGACAGGGAGATCAGAATCCAATTAACCTGGAGTTACCAGGCTCCAGAAGAGGAATCCAGAGGCTTCCTATTCCACTAGTGATTATCATGTAACTTTGGGAGGTTTCAATGACCCTGATTCTACTTCCTTATTGGAAAGCAGGGATATAACACTTTCTGTTCTGTCTCCCATGCAGAGGTATTATAAAACTCATATCACTATAAAAGAACCTTGAAACTAACAGGTAAACCTATAAAAAGGTGATTCCAGTGTAAACATCCAGGCCTAGCAAAATTCTGGCTGGATTAGGTTACTGCTGGAACCCTGAACTAATTCTCTCACAGCCGGGGGTATCTCAGTCTCAACTGACTTGGTACCCACAACATAAATAATTCATTCACTCAGTTGTTTGACTTTTCAACCAACCATTTATTAGATACTGCCCTGGGCCTGAGATGCTTTTAGGTAAGCTTAATGACATGGTGCGGTGTTATTTTCTTGTTCTTTTATTTTGGGGGGAGGGGAACAGAGTCTCACTTTGTCTCCCTCAGTAGAGTGCCATGGTGTCATACCTCAAAGAAACTTCAAACTCTTGAGCTCAACTGATCCTCCTGCCTCAGCCTCCCAAGTAGCTGGGACTACAAGTGCCCGCCACAACACCTGGCTGTTTTTTTAGAGACAAGGTCTCTCTCTGGCTCAGACTGGTCTCCATCTTGTGCACACCACACAGGCTATCCACCCGCCTCAGCCTCCAAAAGTGCTAGGATTACAGGCATGAGCCACCACAACCAGCTGATAAGTGTTTATTTTCACGTCTCAGCTGAGGAAACTCAGGTTGAGCAAGAAGAATTGACACTCCCAAAGGAACACTGGAAGTAATGAAGCCAGAGATGGTAAAATAAAAAAAACCCAACACTTACTTCCTATACCTTTACTATTATCAAGTATTGTTCTAATGCATTATCTCATTTAATCCTTACAACCAACCTATTATACTCATTTTACAGATGGCAAAACTGAGACACAGAGTAGATAAGAAACATGTAGAAGATCACATATTAATTAACAGTGAGCCAGCATTTGAATCCCAGCAGTCTAATTTTAGGGCCCATGACCGCTATTTCACTTCTGCATTGAATGATTCAGGCAGTGACCTCTGCCCTAAGATCCCCCACCACCCTTTAGCACCCTGTAGTACCAAACCAGCCTCCTAGTACTCCCAGCACACTTGTGGCAGAGGAGAGGAGTTCCGTTCCACTTCCTTCCCTTTCTTCAGCAAAAATACTCCCACAAAGAATGTTTTGCTTTGAGAGAAAACACGCCGTGAAAGGTGTTACTGTTATTCGGAGAGGCAGTGAGGTAAAGCAAAAAGAAACCACTCCTTGAAGCCAGAACTGAATTTGAATCCTGGATTTGCCACTTACCTCTTGCCTGAGACCCTGGCAAGATTTTTGTTTAAACTTTTCTGTTTCTTCATCTGTGAAATGTAGATACTAAAGCCAGGCAGTACCTAACAAAGAGGTCATGAGGACTACACGGCATAATATATACACATAGTGCCTGGCACGTAATAAAGATAATAAATTCCAACTATCAGATGGTGCGCAGGGCAAGGTTGCTTTTGGAATCTGCTGCGAGGATCCGTTATCGCGTATGGAAAGCGCGCCGGCAGAAACAGTTGCTAACTCTCCCAAAACAGACACCTGCAGCCTAAGAACTTCAGAGAGGCGGTCGCCTGGTTCTTCGAGGTGGGCGTGCTTTAGGTCACGCTGCCCATCCTCTATCTCCCCCAGACCCGCGCTCCGCTTGCCCTAACACGGGGACCCCGAAGCGCACCCGTCCCATGCGCACGCGCCGTGCGTAGCGTGGGGAGAGCTCTCCCCACCACAGCCCCACGGACACCTGTTCTGAAGCTCCTGGGTCACGAAGTCTTTTCCTGATTTCCTTTTCCCGCTGAACAGCAGCACCAGCCGCGGGACGCCTCCCTGCGGGGCCATGGGCCGCCTGCTCCCGCTCCCGCTCCAGCTAGCAACTCTTCTCCCAGCCCCTAAAACCACGCCACCCCGCGCGGAACGGACGCGGCCACTACGCGGAGCGGCGACGAGCCATTCCGCCCGCCCCGCTCCGCAGCTGCAGAGGCCCAACAGCCACGCGTGCACATCTTAACTAATGTCTACAGAAATGAGAGGCGAAAGAAAGAAAAATGTGGATGGAGAAGAGGCTTTTTCCCGCCGCAGCCTCCTCCCTAGCAGAGTTCCCCCGCCACACTCGCTTGGAACAGTCCGGCTCCGCCCATCACCTCACAGTCCCGCCTTCTTAGCCGAGTCCGTGGGTGGATTGGACGTGACTACTTTCCCAGGGGGGACGATGTCCTGAAATTTCCCGAAGCGAACTTCAGGGTCCCGTCAACACAACCTAAGACATCGTGGAAAAATAATGTGTCTCTGATAATGTTGAGTAAGTTTCCGAGGTTGCCTTTTTATTTGTGCGTTACAATGCATGGACTCAGGCAAATCTTTAATGCCCCACAGGGAAAATGAGTCTTTCTGGCAATCTGAGGAGGAGATGACACCAGGGGCGTGTTTGGTGACATCACGACGAGGGTGGTGCTTGGCCTAACACGTGCTATTTTCTTTTTTTTGAGACAGAGTCTTAGTATGTCGCCCTCGGCAGAGTGCGTGACGTCACAGCTCACGGCAACCTCAAACTCTTGGGCTTAAGCGATTCTCTTGCCTAAACCTCCCAAGTAGCTGGGACTACAGGCGCCCGCCCCAGTGCCCGGCTATTTTGTTGTTTGTTGTAGGTGTCACTGTGGTTTAGCAGGTCCGGATCAAGTTCGAACCCTCCAGCCCCGGTGTATATGGCCGGTGCCCTAGCCGCTGAGCTACAGGGGCCGAGCCACCGCCTTCTCTTTTTTTTTTTTTTTTTTTTGAGACTGTCTCAAGCTGTCGCCCTAGGTAGAGTGCCATGGCGTCATCATAGCTCACTACGACCTCAAACTCCTGGGCTTAAGCGATTCTCTTCCCTCAGCATTAGAAGTAAATGGAACTACAGGCGCCTTCCACAACGCCCAGATATTTTTTAAAGGACAAAGTCTAGCTCTGGCTCAGGCTGGTTTCCAACTTAAGGCGCTCAGTGTTGGGCTGGCGCGGTGGCTATGCCTGTAATCCTAGCACTCTGGGAGGCTGAGGTGATGGATTGCTTGAGTTCAGGAGTTTTTTTAAATGAAAAACTGAGGCAAGAGGATCACTTGAGCCCAAGAGTTTGGGGTTGCTATGGGCTATGACGCTACAGTACTTTACCAAGGGCAACAAAGTGAGACTCTGTCTCCAAAAACAATTTGGTCCTTTAAAGCCAGTGAGAACCCTTCTATCCCTTTTCTAGCTGCAGCCCACTCCAAAGGGTTTTGGAAGTTAGAGAGTTTGGAATGGCTGGGTGACTTTTTTTTTTTTTTTTTTTTTTTGAGACAGAGTCTCACTATGTCGCCCTGGCTAGAGTGCAGTGGCATCAGCCTACCTCTCAACACCCTCAAACTTCTGGCTCAACAATCCTCCTGCCTCAGCCTCCTGAGTAGATGAGACTAGATGGGACTACAAGTACCTGCCACAACACCTGCTACTTTTTCTATTTTAGTAGAGACAAGGTCTCACTCTTGCTCAGACTGGTCTTAAACTTCTGTACTCAAGCAATCCACCCACCTCAGTCTCCCAGAGTGCTGAGATTACAAGCATGAGCTATTGCACCCAGACTAAATGTACATTTACAAAATAGTACAAAATTTTACAAAAATATATAAAATATTCTCTACATATTGGCCATTGTTTTTTTTTTTTTTTTTTTTTTT